TAGTTTCCATGTAGTGAGAGCAAGCAGGTTGAGATGCCACAGTCAATTTGACTGCTTCTGCCATGTCCTTGCATTGGTTGAACCAAAAAGCGACCTGCATGGCAGCCTCAATTTCTTTCACGTGGCTAGCCAAGGCATGCGAAGAATTTTGGGCTTGTTGTATCAATGCAGGAAGATCACTAAATTCTTGCTCCACCTCCTGCCTGATGATTTTCCAAGTCCACCCAATTTTCACCATCTGTGTGAATGGGTGCTCATCGAGTGGCACACTGCTGCCACTCAACAGAGCTTCAAGCGAAAGCTGGCCATTTGGGCACATATCCAGCAAACCAGGATCATCGGTCGCACATCCCTGTGCCACACTCTTGACAAACGAGACAGTGTGGCTTCCAGACACGGACAAATACCTTTCAGTGAAGCGAACCTTGGCTAGCTTGCCACCGCTTTGCTCCTGCAAATCTTGGTTGGCTTGGAACTGCTGAGACCTGGTGGCTGCTGTTGCAGCGACTTCAAAGCAAATGCCATCTAATCTGCTGGGGTCTGCCCCTGTTTTCAGCATCTTGCAACCTTTGGCATGCACTTCGGCTGGCAAGCACATTTTTCCAGCCCGGTTCTGCGGGTGTATCAGAATGTCATTGCAATTCAGCTGGGCTTCATAGAGCAAACCATGTTCCTTCAGAATCGTCATGATTCTGTTTACTTTGACATTCAGTTCCAACTGTTCATCTTTCTTGGCAGCAAGCACCAACTTCGCCACTTTAGGGTCCATGCTACCGTGCTGGCTGGATTAAAGAAATTTTCAAAGCTCCAAGAAGTGACACATTGCCTGCTCTTGTTGCAAGAGAAAGGGACGCGTTTGTTCTGTGGTGATTTCTGGGCTGCAACTCCTTGAGAAAATAGTTCAAACAAAAGACAGCAAGCTAACATGCATGAGCCTTCAAAGGCTGAAGTTCAGAATGAAGAACAACACATGACCTTGCTTCAGGCTTACAAGCATGTCACTACGCAACAGATGAACATGAGCCTGCAAAGGCTTAAACATGACCCTGCACAGGCTGATGGCCCACCATGGGCTTACAAGTTTTAGATTTGGAAACTTTTGACAGTACCTACCAACATGAGCTTGCCTAGGCTACCAAACAAAGCTTCCAGAGGCTTGTCAAGAAAATAAACGGGAAGGAATACCAAGACTATGCTGATAGATTTTTCTAACAAGCGCGCATTTTTTTGTCTTTAAAAAACAAACGGCTATGAATGTTAGCTTTATGCTGATCTGTGTTTGGGTCTCAACATGTCTCAACATCGTTTTTTCTTCTTCCAAAAACCTTGCAGGTATGCATGTTAACATCCGCGGCAACTGTTTTTTGTTCTTCTAAAGCTCCCCTAAGAGTTCATAATGTGAAAAACTAAAGGTCATAAAGTTTAGCTAATTGTGATAAAATTGTTAATAAACATTAGCTAACAAGAATATTTTTTAAGAACTTTAAAGCAATTAGGTAAAAATAACATAAGTGATGTAACTAGTTGAAAGTTTTACGCCAAATATAACTAGTTATAAACACTTATCAATGAGTTAGGAATTGTTTATTATTTAGTTATGTAAAGGTGCTAACGTCTGCAACCCACTAGCACCCACACAGCTGATCTAAGTAAGGTTCTTTATTACAAACAGATATCAAACACAAAAAGAGAAGATCGCACAAGAACGGCTCGAGTCCACGCCTCGCACGGTGCTGCCTTCTTGCACTTCGCACACGAATCAATGAGCCATACATCCGTTTCCGTCTTCACAGACGAAATGCCCAAAACTTGCAAACCGACAACCTCAAAGACCGTCTCCAACTTTCGCAGTTGTCCAGGCACGATCGCTCCCACGAGAGCGCTCAAGGATGAGGCCGTGGCAGGGCAGCCAATCCAATCCTTCACAGGAATTTCCGTCAACATTCGGCAATTGTCTTGGTGAGCTAGCTCTGCCTGCCTGCAGCAAGGTTTGTTGAGCAAAAGGTAAAAGAAACGCAACAGCCAAAGGAAACATCATACAGCAAGAGACATCGCCGTCGCCATCTCTGCACTGCATGGCACAAGAGAAGTGCCACGCCAGCTGCCGATCTCCCACGATCTTTCATCCTTGTGCTTGGTGATCAAAACCTGGTAGAGCATCAGACTCGTTCCAGCTGGCTGCGCTGCCAATTCTTCGGCTTGCTCATGCCAAAAAGAACAGTAAAGAACATCTCACTCGCGTTGCTCCTTGCTGCACAATAGCATTGCACACCAACGCAGCACCTTCTTTCGTCTGACGTTCCACCGACCCTGGATTCTCCACAATTGTCACCGAAACACAAATTTGCTGCCGATCTCGGACCCGATCCAAAGCAGAGAGCGGCACTAGCGGATGCACGGCCGGAATTCCCTGCCACGGACCTTCATCCAGCTTCTGCACAATGACCTGTAGTCCCAAAGGTCCTTTCAGATTCAAGTGGTAATGCAGCCGCGACGTCGAGTATACTTACGTGCCACAACCTGCCACGCAAAACGACGGTAGATGTGAGGTCGTGCCACGCCTGCCACGTGAAGCGAAGGTGGATGTCAGGTTGTGCCACGCCTGCCACGCAAAGTGGCGCGGCGCCCCGGCGCCAAATCCCGGCCCAAGGGCGCCACCCAGTACCATAAGTGCCACGCCTGCCACGCAAAACGACGGTAGATGTGAGATCGTGCCACGCCTGCCACGTGAAACGAAGGTGGATGCTGGTTGTGCCACGCCTGCCACGCAAAGTGGCGCGGCGCCCCGGCGCCAAATCCCGGCCCAAGGGCGCCACCCAGTACCATAAGTGCCACGCCTGCCACGCAAAACGACGGTAGATGTGAGATCGTGCCACACCTGCCACGTGAAGCGAAGGTGGATGTCAGGTTGTGCCACGCAAAGTGGCGCGGCGCCCCGGCGCCAAATCCCGGCCCAAGGGCGCCACCCAGTACCATAAGTGCCACGCCTGCCACGCAAAACGACGGTAGATGTGAGATTGTGCCACGCCTGCCACGTGAAACGAAGGTGGATGTCAGGTTGTGCCACGCCTGCCACGCAAAGTCGCGGCGCCCCGCGCGCCCCCGGCGCCAAATCCCGGCCCAAGGGCGCCACCCAGTACCATAAGTGCCACGCCTGCCACGCAAAACGACGGTAGATGTGAGATTGTGCCACGCCTGCCACGTGAAACGAAGGTGGATGTCAGATTGTGCCACGCCTGCCACGCAAAGTGGCGCGGCGCCCTGGCGCCAAATCCCGGCCCAAGGGCGCCACCCAGTACCATAAGTGGCACGCCAGCCACGCAAAACGACGGTAGAGGTGAGTTTGTGCCACGCCTGCCACGTGAAACGAAAGTGGCTGTCAGGTTGTGCCACGCCTGCCACGCAAAGTGGCGCGGCGCCCCGGCGCCAAATCCCGGCCCAAGGGCGCCACCCAGTACCATAAGTGCCACGCCTGCCACGCAAAACGACGGTAGACACGCAAAGTGCCGCGGCGTCACAGGCGCCCAAGCCAGTCCAAGCACGCCACCCGGTGCCATGAGTGCCACGCCTGCCACGCAAAACGACGGTGGATGTGAGTTTGTCCCACGCGTGCCACGTGAAACGAAGGTGGATGTCAGGTTGTGCCACGCCTGCCACGCAAAGTGGCGCGGCGTCACGGGCGCCCAAGCCAGTCCAAGCGCGCCACCCAATGCCATCTGTACCACGCCTGGCACGCAAAACGACGGTGGATGTGAGTTTGTGCCACGCCTGCCACGCAAAACGACAGTCAGTGTGAGTTTGTGCCACGCCTGCCACGCAAAGTGCCGCGGCGTCACGGGCGCCCAAGCCAGTCCAAGCGCGCCACCCAGTGCCATGAGTGTTACACCTGCCACGCAAAACGACGGTGGATGTGAGTTTGTGCCACGCCTGCCACGTGAAACGAAGGTGGATGTCAGGTTGTGGCACGCCTGCCACGCAAAGTGGCGCGGCGTCACGGGCGCCCAAGCCAGTCCAAGCGCGCCACGCGCGCCACCCAGTGCCATCTGTACCACGCCTGCCACGCAAAACGACGGTGGATGTGAGTTTGTGCCACGCCTGCCACGCAAAACGACAGTAGGTGTGAGTTTGTGTCACGCCTGCCACGCAAAGTGCCAAAACTTCACTGACGATGCACTGACGACTTGTCATTGTGGTGTGTGTGTGTGTGGAAATGTTATTGTATGTTAAATTATTGTGTGTTGTTGGTGTGTGTGTGTGTGAGGAAATGTTATTGTATGTTAAATTATTGTGTGTTGTTGGTGTTTGTGTGTGTGAGTGTGAGTGTGTGTGTGTTGTTTGTGTGTGTGTGTTGTTGGTGTGTGTGAGGCGGCGGGAGGGGAAGGCGTGCCGGAGGAGCCCGGGATACAGAATCAAAAACAAGAACCCCACACAAAGATGTGGGGAATAACCTTTATGAGCGCTGGAAGTGGAAAATCAAAGATTTTTAATGGTAGCTCTGATTGAAATCTACAAAAACCTCGCGCAGAGTGCCAGGCATCTTTGGCCCCGAGCCTCGAAATGGGATCAGCCCAGTTCGACTTCGACGGTATGTACTCCCAAAAGAGTATGGCTTCTAACGCGAACCTTGGTGCTGTTTAACTGTTGCTTGGTTGCTCTTCCTCCCTCTTCAATTTTTTTTGACGTTGCTTTCCAGCCCTCCATCTTGTTTTCCCAACATCAGCTGTACTTATTTTTAACCCACTCAATGAAACATCGACAAACTTTGTAAGATCAGTTGTTATGAAAACAACATTTGGTGGATTTTAAATAATAATGGGTTGAAATACTAGTATGTATTTTTTTTAAATATTGAGAGACTTGGAAACATTTTTATGCACATATACACATACATATTTTTTTTACATGACTATATTTTATATATGTCTTGGCACCTGAATATCTTCCGGAGCTGCTGCAGCTTCATTTCAAGTTCAAAGATAAGTCCGGCAAACTCCGACGACATGCCTGCAGCGGAATGGAGAGTTAATAAGGAATTTTTCTTGCTGGTTGCAGCGCTTCTGGGCTCTATCCTCCCGGGGACAACCAGCAGTGCTGAGACCCAAGACCGTTGGGAAAGCCTTCAGGAAGTTTTGCGAATGACTGCAAACGCAGTCCAGAAACTGGAGGAGAGGTCGGCGCTGTGCAAAGTAAGTTTGTTTCTTTGCGCAGCCTGGGAGACGAAGGTAAACAAAGACCTTCCCAGTTGCTTTCCTGTGGAAAACGGCCAGGTATGCCTGAAAGGCTATGTTCCGGACGAAGCTTTGGACTTGCCGCGGCTTCAAAGGAACGCGGATTTTCATTTGGGAGAGTTCGACAGAGCAGAAGGGGACTTAGCAGCTCTTATGAGCCATTGCCGTGAGAGCGGCTTTGAAGATTTGCTACAGGACATGACCATGGCTCAAAACGCTTTGGCTATGGTTGTTGATAAGCTGAGCGGCAGGTGACAGATGAGCGCAACTGAGTTGGCCGGCTCTGCGTGTCTGCGGACACTTGTCGTGTCCGCGGGCACCAATTTTGTGTCCGCGGGCACTCCGTCGTGTCTGCGGACACTCTGTGTCTGCGGACACTCCGTGTCTGCGGACACTTCGTGTCTTCGGACACTTTGTGTCTACGGACACCCCGTGTCTTCGGACACTCCGTGTCTCCGGACACTTTGTGTCTACGGACACCCCGTGTCTTCGGACACTCCGTGTCTGCGGACACACCTTTTAAGGACACTTCGTGTCTACGGACGCTTGGCAAAGCGCGCCTGCGGGTGGATGGGGAAAGCAGCTAGCAGTAGCTGCATTCTTTAAAGGCAGTAGGTATTTTTATACCCGTATGCAGCTGGCAAAAAAAAATGCACACAGACGCTTCTCATCCGTCGGCAATTCTCACGTCATTCTATGAGAAGCCAGTGTCTCAGTGAAACTTGCTTTTGAAAATTAATGTTCGGCTCCAACCTGACCAGGGAAGGGCGGTTCCCAACATGGGAACGGACAACTATCCACTTTCATTTCACATGGCAATCAATCATTTGTCGTATCCATTGAAGGGTTTTTTTTGCGCAGCCATTTGGTTCCGAAGTAAACCTAGTCAATATGGGAAAGCATCGAAGCGCCAGGCCTTCTTTGTTGCCTTCAAGGCTAGTGAGTCAGCATGTCAAATCTTGCCACACAAAAGAAGGCAAGTGCGGGCTCTGTTTCTGGCAAAAGAAAAAAAGCATCTGGCTGAAGGAGCTGAAGTCAAAGTGGCTCCATGCAGCGTTGCGAGGCAAGGTCTGTAGACTGGGCTGTTCCATCTGTTCCTTGGCTGAAGCAGGTGGTCCATGGGCTTGCTTCGAGCAAAAACCTTTAGAGGTGAGGCTTCACCACTTGAAGCGCCACGAAAGTTCCAAGGGACACCAGGAGGCCATCGCAAAACACCAAGGGGTTCAGAGCGCTGGCTTTGCGCCAGACCTGCAGCTGTTTCAAGACAGTTTGCATCGCATGCGCTCCGGCGGAAGTGCTCGTGATGGCGGAGTTTATTCTGACAAGAAGCAGCAAATCAGATGGTGCCTGGCAGAAGCGGTCATGGACAAAGGGCGCCAGATCTTGCGAGACGCTTCCGCCATCGCAGTGACGCGGGACGAGCGGAAAGGACGACTCCTCATTCGCTGGAGAGCATGCACTCCCAATCTGACATCAGCTTCTGGAGTCTTGAGCTTTCATCCTGTGGATGGGTCCGCAGAAGATCTTGCAGAAAGTACCAAGAAAGCTGTGCAAGAATACTGTCGGCTTCGCATTTGTTTGCCTCGTGGTTTTAAGGATCCGCAGCCGGGAGAGGACGACCCAGCAGCGGAAGCAAACATTAAGAAAAAAACAGGCATATTAGTGACTGATGGGGCGGCTCCCGAGGTGCTCGCATCGGGCTTGCTATCTGGCCGGCGGCCATACGCCAAAAGCAGTTCGTGCGAGACATACATGGAAGGCGTGAAGGTCATCAGCCGAGATACACCACATGCAAGCACCAGGCTTCTAAAGAGGCCATTCAAAGCAAGTCCGGAATTGGACAAGCTGATGACCGAATACGTCAGCGGCACAGATTCCTTCGCACAGAAAGTCTTCCATAGCCCCATGCTGACAACCTGGTGGAAGGAATTGGTGACTGAGGACAATGACGGGCTCACCAGCATGTGTGCTGCGAAGCATCGTTTCGCGTCGTACTTCATTCCTCTTAGCCGGATTGCTCACAATTTTCCCTCGGTGGTGAAACTGTGTCAGAAGGTCGCTATCATCCGTGCATCTGGGGGAGAGTGGGCGTCTCACCTTTTGCAGCAGCTGTCTGGCAAAAAATGTTTGCTCGTGGCCATGGCTGCTGATGCCGCAGCGAGCGTGCATGAGCTGACTCGAAGTTTCGACGATGAGTCTTCGGATGTGAGTGAAACAAATGCACGCATTGAGAACTTTGCGCTGGGAATTCAAGTGCTGTTTCATTCAGAACGGGTGATTGAATTGCCTACATTTACCAAAACGCTGTGCGATTCTTTCGCGCGGTCTCCTTTGCATTTTTTGCATCACGGCAATGTCATGGAAATTGCAATAACGGAGCACGACAAGACGTATGCGATCAAGGTGATGAAGGCGCGTTTGCTTTGTCGTCGAGTTTTTTTCTTAATTTAATTGTTATTATATTTTGTGATGGCAGGAATGGACATCCGTGACCTTGACGGTTTTGGAAGCGGAATTTCCAGCTTGGTATTTGCTCAGTGCTTTCGACGTCTTTCACTTGGGTGGAAAACGGGCAGAAACGAAGCGAGGTCTTGGGCAGGAGGAAGCTTTGAAGAAGCTGGCAAAGGTGTTTCAAGTCAACGAAGTGGAGCTGCGGACACAGTTTGTTTCCATTCTTCCGACTGCCGAGGCGTTCCAGAAGAGGAGTGGCTTGGACAACCGATCCGCCTGGGCTAATGCATTGAATCGCCTGAGCACAACTTCGCCAATGAGACGGAAGTATCCTGCAACCGCGCTCAGAGAGGCGTATTTGTCTGTCAAATAAGTTGTAATTTGTCAGTTTAAATATATTATTTAAATTATCATACAGCCAAGAATAAACCACCCTTCACATTTAATATAACTGACATTATACCTGCAGGTGGTGTCGCACTTCATTGCCTGGACTGCAACTAGCTCTGGCTGCGAGCAGATGTTCTCACATCTGAAGCGCAGCCCAGCTGAACTTGCGAGTTCCAAAATAGACACCGACCGAAGACTGGCAGTCGTGATTGGAAGCGATTCCCAATTTGACCACGAAGTGCTCGAGCGCGCTCGAGACATGTATGGCAAGATGCTGCGTTCTGGGCGCGCCCGGACACAACTGAGAGAAACCCGCGTAGATGCTGGACGCGCTGGCTCGCAAAAAGACGGCTCTCACAAAGGTTGGATGAGAAAGCGAAAGCAGGCGGTGGACAAGGCTGCGCAGGAAGAGGAGTTGCGAACACCACAACGACGAAGGCCTCCAGTGGAGCTGCCAGAAAGTTTGGCAAAAGAAGAGGCGAAGCAAAAGGCCTTGCTTCGAAAGCGTAAAACAGAGGCATTTCTGGAAGGCACTCTGTTAGATTCAGAAATCACAGACGATTTGAAGGACGAGGCAGAAAAAAGAAAGAAAGTCGACGAACAAAATGACCGGCAACGCTGCAAGGCATATGCGGCTATGACCAAGTCGGTCCATGTGGCTAAGCATGGATTGGCTGCGAGAAGTGCATTGCAGAACTTGCCTGTGCCTGCGTTCTTCTTGGAAGGCATCACGGACAAAACACGCTTGGAGAATCAGCTTCGCAAGGTTGGTGTAACAGCTTTTGTTCAGGCCAGGGGACATTTGACTGAGAACTGTCATTACAGCCTGTGAGTGCCATTCCTACATGTTCTTCTTTGCAATTTCTAACTTATCTCAGATCATTTGTGCAGGACATACGGCAAGCACAGCTTTTGATTGTGCCCTCTGCAGAGAATCTATCACGCACGAACAAATTGATAGCATCTCTTTTCGGTTGCGTGGTGCTCTCTGCATCGATCCTTCGGGGTCAAGCAGGCGCCAAGTTGTCCTACACTGCTGGACTTCGTCGCAAGGTGCGTGTCTTTGCAAGTGATGCATTTCAGCAGGAAGCACCTTCCCTGACGGTGGTCCTTCGCAACGTTTGCGAACGACCTGACTCCGATTGGCAAGCGGTGTCCTTTCAGGATGCGAGACGAAAGGATGGTTGGAAATGGGGCATCGTCTTGCGGGGCGCAACGGAAAATGTGCCCAAGAACAACACAAATTCCAAGAAACTGCTTTGTCTGACTGGGAACGGGTTAGTTGCCTGGGCAACGAGGGAGTTTGCCCTTCCTACGGGAAGTGGCTGGGTTCAGAGTCGTGAAGGGTGACGCGCAATGGCCGTCCGACTGACAAACACGACCCGGGGTGAAAAAATGCGTCAACATCATGAAGCATTCTTATGAAGTTCCTGAAAGTAACATTTTTACTTTGCTGCTTGTGATGCTTTTTTCCTGTCGCCGTTTGCACGGCTCAAACGTAGGTAGATGACATGCCGCCAAAAGTTCGAAAGCAATTTCTGAAGCCAGCTGCTTCTCGAGTAAACGCTGCCCATAGAGGCGCCCCACCGGTTGTGGCAGAGATCAACGCATTGCTTCAAAATTGGAAGCAGAGACTTGGACTCTGGCCCAAACCCAAAGCCGGGCAAGTTTTTTCTCTAGCTTCCGATTGCTCAGGATATGGAAGCGAATTGCTCGCTTTGCGGTTGTTGGGGCTGCAGAAAAAAGCTCAATTGATAATGACTTGTGAGAGTTGTTCCAAGAAGCGCGCATTGCACGATGTCATGGTCAAAATTTGCGGGTTTGACCCTAGTCGAGAGGATTTCCAAGATATCTTCCGGAGAGATAACGCATCGGCACCTCGCGCAGATTTGTACATCGCCGGGTACCCCTGTCCGAGCTTTTCGCGGATGGGGAAGAGGGCAGGTACAAAGGATGTACGGGGTATGGTAACCCTACAGGGCTTACTGTACATCGCTACCAAGCGTCCACGGACGCTGGTTTTGGAGCAGGTTGCTGCTTTGATGCAAGATAAACAGCATAGACAGGTGTGGACCTTTCTTCAAAAGGTTCTGACAGCCCTTGATTACACCTTTGCTTATGACATTGTCAATACAAGACACATGGGAATACCGCAGAGCCGCCCGAGACTCTACCTCTTCGCGGTATGCCGCGAATCTGTGACTGGACCCTTGTCAATGCCAACGGCAAGGGAACATCATCCTGACTTGCACACGTTCATTAACAAGAGTTTAGTTGGCAACGAGAAACTGCAATTGCCAACTTACGAACAGAAGTTGGGCAAGGCCCTTTGGCAGCAAGGATGGATCCTAGACGTTGCTGCTTCCCCGAGGTACCAGCACGCCGTGCGCAACTGCTCCCCCTGCTTGTTCAAAACGCGATGCAAGCAGGGAGGATATTATGTGCCAAAATTGTTGCGCAGACTGACTTGCCAAGAAATCTGCTCACTCCAAGGTGTGCCAGAGCAGGTTGTCACTGCTTTGCTGGAAGGTGCTAAAAGTCTTCCAAGCCGGACTGTAGAAGAAAGTGCAGGCGATGGGATGTCCATCAATGTTCTCTTCCTCGTTTTGAGGCGCTGTTTGGACGCAGCCGGTTTGACCTCTCTCGGAAGTCAACGGGATTATTGGCTCAGGTGTCCAGCCGACAAGCTGTGGCAACTTAGTGATAGCCTTTGGAAGATGCATGCATGATCTTGATTGCCGTCAACGGTTTATTCCCTTGAAATTCATGCATCGGCTAACACGCCGCAACGGCTTAAACGTCGCAACGGTTAAACGTCGCAGCTCTTACCCGGGTCTTTCCCGGTCCGGAAAAAATGCTCCTATAGAGCCCTGGGGAAGGAGAGTGTGACTTTCGCACTCTCCTTACCCAGGTCTTTCCTGGTGCAACCCTGGGTAAGGAGAGTGTCGTTTGCAGTAACGAGAGTCTCAACGTTGCAGGGGGGCTATCCTTAAAGCAACATACGCTATCACTACCCGGGGCTTGCCTGGTATAACCCTGGGTAAGGGGAGTCTGCTTTTCGCACTCTTCTTACACGGGTCACGTCGCATGTCCCGTAGCATTTTCATTGTCCCAGTTGGTCAATTGCAATTCAATTCAATCACCCTTTCTTTCAATGAAAATTAATTCTGACACTGATGTGTTTCGATCACATATATCATCACATCATCACACTCCATACATTGAATCACAAATGATTATAATCATATTTAAACTTTATATATGTTTCGTCGCAGCCGTTTGGGTTCCCGGTGGTTCCTGCGCGCGGCTCTTCGAGGCCGGTTTCGGTTGAAGCCCGGCAGGTGTTAATAACAATTTTGTCCCCCTTTTTTTTGTTCGTCGTTGTCGTTCTCGTCGTCGTGATTTGTCGTGTCACCTTTGGCAGGTGCACAGCTCCTTTGGCATCATGGCCGTTTCCAAGGAAAGCCGCGACAAGGCGCCAGTGACGCCTGAGGGACGTCCTCGAGATCGGTCTCAGAGCGAGGAATCTCGCGATGGACCGGGCCGGGAGGAACGCGCCAGGAAAGATGACGACCCAGAGCGGCGCCATCGGGACAACGACGACGACAGACGCCGTGCAGACGACGACGACAAGCCTGAGGGCAGAGAGGCGTCTGAGGATGTCAGGGCTGCCAAGGATAAATATGGCAGCAACGTCTGTGAGACGTGTAAAAAAGAAGTCCGTGGTGGCAAAGCCGGCATGAGGCTGCACAAAGAGACCAGTAAGTTTCACTGGCAATGTGTTTACTGGCAGCGCGGCATGCCGTGGGAGCAAGCCAAAGCACGAGCCGCGCGCGAGTGGGAGAAGGCCATGTCGCCGAGCACGGTCCCCAACCGCCCGCGTCGTTGCCGTGATGATGACGACGATGGCGACAAGGGCGACCACAAATCGGCGCCCAAATTGCGAAGCCGCAGCCGCAGCCGCGGAGCTGAAAAGGGCAAGTCTCGCCGCCGGAGCCGAGACACTGAGAAGGACAAGTCTCGCACCCGGCGCGGCCGCTCTCGCTCCCCTCGCCTCCGGAAGGGAATTACCGAAGACAAGGAGAACCTGGTGCTGCGGCACGCTGCGCTGATCCAGAAGGAGCGTGCCTACCGCGAGAAAAAAAGGGAAGAAAAGAAAGCAGCTTCGGCTGCAAAGGCTCCTGCAAAGGCTCCGGCCCAAAAAAAGAAGGATGACGATGAAACGTCCGGGTCGTACGAGTACGTCACCGAGACCGAGGACGATCTGGAGGCCGGAAAAGCCAAGCAGGCTCAGCAGGCGGCTTCCGACAAAAAAAAGGAGCGCCTCAACGCAGCCAAACCCAAAGTGGCCCCAGTGCCCGTGAAGCCAGCGTCCACGGCTGCTGGCTCGTCTTCGGACGGGAAAAAGAAGGCATCGGCTTTGGCCAGCCTCTGGGAGGCTCAGGCAGCTGGCCTGCGTCAAATGTTTGACTTTTGAATTTGCTTGCGACCCTCAGCCGAGGCGAGGGCCTTGGCTGGTTACAGCCATCGCTGGCCACAGTGCCAGCAACACAGCCAAGGCTCTGGCTTTTTGGCGACGACGAGGTTTTTGTTCCTTGCGTCAGCGACGCTTGACTTGGAACGGCGATGCAAGGTGCCCAGGGCCTGACGAAAAAAGGTGTGCAGCTTGGTGTGGAAGTGTTGACGTTATGAATCATGCCAGGTCATGCCAATAGTAAACCCATCATATTTTAAATTTTGATGTTTAAATTTTGAAATCACAGTGGGATTCATGCATTTTTGGGTAAAATTATGTGTCTGCATCTTCCGCAAAAATAGTTTAAATAGTATTATTATAGGTTTTGGCTCAGGCTCGAAGTCACTATTTGTTTCTTCGGAAACATGGCTCCCAAAAATGTTTCGAGCTGGCGTCTCAACAAAGCTGAGACGGCAGAGCTGGAACAACGAGTTGCTGCCGGGGAAGATGAATCCAAAGTTAAGAGAGAACTGCAAGAAAAGAAGGCGCAAGCAAATGAAGACCGCAAGGCTGCGGCCCAAGCGGTCTCGCAAAAATGTCAGCTGCAGGCACAAGCCTTAGTCAAGGCGAAAGCAGGGCCAAAGGCAGCCGCCAAGGCGGCAGCAGCTGCTCAGTCCAACCCCCCGGGCAATGGCACTGACGAGCTGAACGACGCTGCCAACAAGTCCTATTATTGTCAAGTGCAAAGCGATATTCAGGCGATATTGGCAGAGTTTGGAGGTGAAGCGTTCCGGCAGGAATTGCCCCTGCCCATCACGGGCGCAAAGGACTCCGGGGTCCAAGACCCATTCTGCAGGACGAAGGCGTTGCAAGCGTTGGACGCAAACGCTTGTTATCGTTGTTCAATCAGCATATGGTGGGTCAGCGCCTTGCAATCGCCTACTCCTGGAGTCCCCATGAGTAGGCGACGGGTTGAGGACCTCTCCGAGTTCACCTTCGGGGCGACTGGAGAAGCAAAATTTCATAGTGACAAGATGTTGGAAATTGCCGTTTCGAGGTCTGACCTGGACACGGACAAACCAAATGGATTGCAGCTCGTCTCTCCGGAGGAAACCCTCCATGCCACCTTTTGCGGCTGCGCTCGTGCCATTCAGACGCGTGGCTTCTCCATCCTTGTTTTTATTGTATTTTGACCCCCATCAATTAATATAATAATATGACAATTTTAAATCATACTGGATGCCATGTGCCATGTTATATTATGTCATGCATCTGAGGACGAAAGGTGACCTTTCAGAAGAAGATTGGAAAGAGAAGAAAGCACGCTGGCGGGCTGTGCTCTTGTCAGTGCCGTGCACATTTTCGATCATTGCAGCACAAGATATCTGGAAGATATCTTACAACAAGAGGCAAGCTGTGCTCCAGGAGCATGAAAGCCTTTCGCGCACTGCCATGCAGGTGTCGATGGAGGTTGCACAAAAATGAAAGCCATTATGGAAGCCCAACAACCAGGCAAAGGGAAGTTCTCGGCGCAGCTCTTGGCACAGGAGTTGTTGAAAGCAGGTTTGCAACCCGTTGTGGGTGGCAGCAAGCAAGACGAAGAGGAGGCAGATGGCGGCAGCCTGACACCTACCTTTATTACCCAAGCGCTGAACGTCCACAAGTCTGTGATGAGCCAGCCCAGATGCGTGGAATTGCTCATGGACCTGGAGCATCGCTTCGAGACCCGAAGTTGTTTTCACAAGCTTTCGAAGCTTAACGTCCTTGCGCAGAAACCTGCTTCAGCCAAATCTCGGATTTGGGTGTTGGAAAGTCTGCATGACTGGTTGTCTTACGGGATGATCAAAGTCGGTGACGTCAGCAAAGCAGTGTTGCAAGGTGACAGAACACATTGTGGTTTTGTCTCACTCTTTGAAGCGAAGCAAAAGGCTACCCGACTAATTCTTATAATATGAGCTCACATATTCAATGATTTCAGTGTTTTATTGTCATGTCCTTCCCCATGATCATGGTCACTGAGGTTCTCAACTACTTGCACGAAGACCTTCTTCCCAAAGCAGGTGTTCTGGAGTCAGACAGATCCTTGCTGAAGGAAGCCTCAGCGGACCACGCCGCTTTCCGGTCACACAGTGGAGATGGTGGTGAAGTGACTTGGCAGGCGCGCCTGCAAAAGAGCGGCATTCTGATCTTCGAACTTCTGGAGGCCGGTGACCCTGTTGTTCAGTTCATTTGACACGACAAATTTAAATTCAAATTTAAAACTTCCTGGCCTGAGCAATCATAAATTAGTTTAAACATTGTCACCGCATCGACAATACATGCATGGCAGGACCTGGTCTATGGACGCAAATTTGACCATGGTATCCGCCAAGCTGCAAAGCTGGGCGGTACACCTGAGCAAGTTTTTGAACAGGAGCCAGTCAAAGAGGCATGGCAGGCTATCGTTCGGGAAATCGCTAAGGAGTTGGAAGAGCGCAACGCTTTGCAACGGAAAGCGGAAGAGGAGCCGAGACAGGAGGAAGAAGAGCTGGCGACAGTCCGGAAAGCACCAACCAGCTTTCCTTTGCACAGCGCCAGCTACTGGCGCGCAGTGGCAAACCAGACAGTGAGGACGTACATCACACTGGTGCCCGAGCCCAAAACGCAGGAAGGCGTTGTGACTGCCATTGAACAGTCTTCCTTGAAGTCCATTGCTGGCACTCAAGGTTCAGACTCCGTGCTGGTATTCTTAGACATGGACTCGTTAGGTGAGTCGCAAGGACCTGGTGCGTGCAAGCTATTGCGCCGGAAGTTCACGGCGGACCTCCCACTTCTGCGAAAACTCATTCAAGGGGCGATGCTCGCTCGTGGAAGTCAGAAACGTGAAAATTCGGAAGCGACTCGGGTCGTTGAAGGCGACTTAGTCATGATTCATGACGGACTGGGGCACCCAGGAGGGGTGAAGGAGGCGAAGAACATGTTTCGCCTCTCAAGTGCGAAAAAGGAAGCCGATCTTGACTCCGAAGTGAGAGAAGTTTTGATTGTTTTCGATGACGAAAGCATCAGACAGAGAAAGCAAAGAGTCAAAGGCTCCTATACATCCCACACCACTCTGCTGGTGGCCAGCGCCGCGCCTTTGGCGCAAAGCGTGCCTGAGAGGGCTTACGAGCACCATCCGGGGCACACTACATCAAATATCGTCCACGGTGTCAAGGCTCTGGCGCCGGCTGACATGTGGTTTGCAAGCAGGACTGACAATTGCAATGCCCTGTCATTAAACCCTATATGCTATAAACCCTAAACCCGCGCGCTCGCGCGCTCGTTAGACCCTAAACCCGCGCGTTCGCGCGCTCGTTAAACCCTAAACCCGCGCGCTCGCGTCGTTAAACCCTAAACCCGCGCGCTCGCGTCGTTAAATCCGAAACCCGCGCGCTCGCGCGCTCGTTAAACCCTAAACCCGCGCGCTCGCGAAAAGCCCTGCGCCTTCCTGCGCTCGCCAAACCCTAAATCCGGGCTCTCGGCGCGCTCGTCGTTTTAAACTGTTATAATTGTGCTTGGAAGGACCGACAAGATCGCCCTGCTCACTCCGGACCGGTGTGTCGACATCACAGCTGAGGCTGCAGCAAAGGCAGGGGATGCCACCTCGGTTCCTGAGAGCATATTCAGTGCTGCGCTGCTTCCTGTCGAATTCTTTCGGGACGTGTTACGCGGACACGCGGCAAAGGGCATGTTTCTCGGCCATTGATATAATAGTTTTTTTTGTTTCCAGGTCTGTAGTTTAACTTTCTTTCCGAGCATGACAAGCCACTGTCAGGCTTGACTTGTCAGCGAGCCAGGGGTGCGCAGCTCAATCATGTCTTCTTGAAAGGCTGCCTTACGTAGGCTTTGTGCTGTCCGAACACCACGCCAAGCGCTTGGAAGTGCAACTGACGCAGTTCATTGTCGATGAAATGCAGCGTGAGGGGTCGTCACACTATCGACCAGAAGCAGCCCAAGCAACTTCGGCAGGCAATGAGAGCGCTGAGAAACATGCCTCAGGGGGCAACGTGCAGCCAAAGAAAAAGAACAAGAAACAAGAGGATGGGCAAGAGGAAACACAGCCCAAGAAGAAACCGAAGAAGACCAAGAAGGATGAGGAAGAAGAAGCCGGAGGAGAAGAAAATGAGGGAGAAGAAACCGGAGAGAACAAATCTCCGCTGCCTTGGTAGGTTACTCCGAGCCTTGGTGAGATCCGGGCGCAGCTGTGTGGCTTCTGACTCTTAGCCAGTTGCAGACAAATAAATCAATCACAGTAGTTCTCATTTCGGCATTTGGCCTGACTAAGCCTCACAGACGGGCGCTGGCATCTCAGCTTTTTTAAACTTTGCTGAGAAGCAAAGGTACGTGGCAACAGGACACATATAATTTAATTATATTTATATATAATATATATTATATAATAACATATATATAATATGTATAACATGCTATGTTTCTTGTTTACCGCCGGTTTTCAAATAGCTTTGATTTGATCGTTGTTTCCTTCAAAAGAATGCACCTTTGCTTTCAGAGCTTGTGCGATGACACCACTGCGGCCTGTGACAAGCCAGCAAGCGCGAAAAAAACATTGGGCACTGGAGGAGGACATGCAAGTTAGAGTGTTTGTCACTTCGGGGTTGAAGACCATCATACTGTAATAATTTAAATTTCCAATTTAGGGGCGACCATCAGTAATTCATGACCCAGTAACTTCCAAACACACCATGACCATGATCTACATTCGATGATCAGTAAGATTAAGTTTACATCGGCTGAACTTTTAAATAGCAAAAAAAAAGAAGAGGGAGGAAGAGCAACCAAGCAACAGTTAAACAGCAGCAAGGAACAGCGCTATGTGGATAAATCTGGCAATCTTTTCTAGATCTTCTGCATCGCTTCGGCCTCGAATCAATCACATCAAACTGGCAACGTTGTCTATGAACCAGAAGCCTCTGCGTCCTCGAAACTCGCCTGCACTTTTGATCAGGGCATGGGCAATCATGAGCATCTCTAATTGTGCGATTTTCTGAACTCCTTGGTCAAGCCAGTCGAAAAGTTCATCTGGAAGTGTTGCCACAACTGCCTCTTTCGGCCGTGCAGACGGGTGGCTCCACAGGATCAGGTACCCTCCTGATCCTGTGCGCTCTGCATCCTGTGCAGCGTCCGATGCCACCAGGGCACTTGAGCCAAAATAACATGGTGATTAGAAATGATCAGTGCAAACCCATGCCTTCCAACACCTGATGCACATATAGATAAGTTATTCTCACTAATTATATTCAAAATCGGTCCGTCTTGTCAATAACGTGGAAAATCTGGTTGCATGATGTTGCATGTCCGTACACTGCATGGTGTGCTCTGGCAAAGGCGTTTTGAAAGGCCAAAGCACATAAATCCTTAGCTTGTCATCCAAAGAAAAAATACCAGATTCATTCCATGTGGATAAACGTTGTTATGCGAAACGCATACTTTTGAAAAACGTAACATATGTTTTTTCAACATATAAAAATCATATGAAAAAAATGTTGGTATTTGCTGCCTTTAGGTAATTTGGAAACATGTAATCAAAGTCTTGGGCTCTGATTTGGAGTGTTTGGAGGTGGGTTGATGGAGAACCTTTAGAAACTTTAAAAAACTACCATGATAGCGTTTGATGCTGCACCTCTAAAAAATCCCAGACACTTCCAACGTCCTGTTTTGAACAAAGTAGCTTCGCAAACGGGTTCCCAGTGAACCGGGCAATCCTTGGTGGCGGTCAGCTTGGTACTGAGATGCGGCGGAAGAAACCGGCCAGAGTTTTGCACAAAGAAAGTCCCAATGTGCAACAATTCTGACCACTTAGTGTCTCGGTGGTCCTGTCTCTGCAGTACTTTAAACCATGGATCGGTGTTCCTGCGTCAAAGTGTTCAGCTGGAACATTTTCTTTCTCCAGGCGATGCTCTCCTCACCGTATCACCAAGATAGAAGTGCAATGACGAACAGATTGAGGTTTCCCAAATTCATCCAAATTGTTAGTGGGTCAGTTTCATGACATATGTTCAATGGCAAAACCATGGTACAGTATCCAATGGTCCGTGCCCCTGTTTGATAAATGGTCCCGGATATACGAAAATCCACGTACGAAACCATGGTTTCCAAACCAGGTGTTAAATATTTGGGGAACGGATTATAAACAGATATAAAGGGTATATAAAGAATCTTGAAACCTGATGCATCAGATATCAATACAAAATCTAACGCTGCAAAAAAAATGCAAATTTGGTTCCTCCGTGATGTCAGTGACAATGGCACACACTTGTCCCAAAATGTAGGCCCAGCAAATGCCGGCTGTGAGCACCATTCCTCAGCTGGATGCCAGGCAGCAACAACCGCGTGTTTTTAAAACGGGTGTAGAATAGTTTTTGTTTTTTTGCCTCAGGTTTGTTTTTTTTTGGAGATTCTTTCCCCGGTATCATTTGCCTTGTATTTGCAACAGTTTGGAACTAGAACCTGTCATTTTGCATGAAATTTTCTACATTTTGGCATGGTCACTTTGCATTCTGCATGGTATTTGCTACGTTTGGCCATGTTCGCCTTCCATTTTGCATGGTACTTGTCACATTTTGGCATTTCAACCTCTCATTTGCATGGTATTTGCTACATTTTGGTGTTTCAAATGTTCATGTGGGTCTCTTTAGGGTTCTTTAGGCTTTCATTAAGGGTTTCATTTGGGGTTTCATTTGGGGTTTCACTTAGGGTTTCTTTACAGTTTCATTTTAGGGTTTCTTTAGGGTTAGGGTTTCTTTAGAGTTTCATTTAAGGTTTATTTCCGGTTTCATGCAGGGTCTCTTATCGGGATTTCTTATCAGGAGTTCTAAACGTTCAAATGAATTTTTTTAGGGTTTCTTTAGGGTTTCGTTTAGGGTTTCATTTAGGGTTTCATTTAGGGTTTCTTTAGGGTTTCGTTTAGGGTTTCATTTAGGGTTTCATTTAGGGTGTCTTTAGGGTTCAGTTTGGGTTTCATTTAGGGTCTCATTTAAGGTTTCTTCAGGGTTTCATTTGATTTTTTTTAAGGTTTAATTTAAATTTTCTTTAGGGTTTCATTCCAAGGTTTTTTAGCAGGATTTTTTTTCACGATTTCTAAACGTTCAAGTGGGTTCCTTTAGGGTTCCTTTAGGGTTTCATTTAGGGTGTCATTTGGGGTGTCATTTAGGGTTTCTTTAGGGTTTTTTTAGGGTTTCATTTAGGGTTTCTTTAGGGTTCATTTAGGGTGTCAATTTAGGGTTTCATTTAGGGTTTCTTTAGGGTGTCAATTTAGGGTTTCAGCTAAGGTGTCAGTTAAGGTTTCATTCAATTGTTTTTTCCAGAGTGTTGTTTAAGGTTTCGTTGGGGTGTCATTTAGGGTGTCATTTAACGTCTTTTTAAGGTTTCTTTGGGATGTCATTTAGGGTGTCATTTAAAGTTTCTTTAAGGTTCCATTTATGGTTTCTTTATGGTTCTTTTAGGATTAATTTATGGTTTCTTTAGGGTTCATTTAGGGTTTCTTATCAGGATTTCTTTAGGGTTTCTTTGGGTTTCACCTAGGGTCTCTCTAGGGTTTGATTTGGGATACAAACAGAACAGAATAAAGCAAAAGAAAATGAAAAACAAAGAGGCAGTAAAGACAGGAAGCAAAGAAGCAAAGGAACAGGAACATGACAGAAGAAAAGAAAAAGTAGAATAGTAGCAGTAGAAAGGCACAGAGTACAAAAGCAGAGAAGCAGGGAAAACAGAAGCAGAAAAGCAAAGAAGCAGGAAAAGCAAAAGCAGAAAAGCAGGGAAGCAGGAAAAAACAGAGAAGCAGGGAAAGTAAAAAGCAGAAAAGCAGAAAAACAGGAAAAGCAAAGAAGCAATGTAAGCCTAGCAGAGAAGCAGAAAAACAAAAAATCAGAGAAACAGGAAAGCATAGAACCAGGAACCACCAAAAAAAAAAAACAAAACCAGCCGCGAAAAAAAAAACAATAGCCCTCTGGCCCTCCTTTTCAAGCACCTCTATGCTGATAGTAAAAACAAAAACATCATACCCACCACATACTCTCAAAAAAGGTGGACGTGCCTGCTCAAATTACAGGGGTGCATGCGAGTTCGTGCGTTCTGTGTTTTTCTTGCGCCCTGGAAAATTTGCGCGCCCGCTTGTTCATGAGCATGGTCGTTTGCGCTGCATGCGCCTGTGCGCCATTTGTGACTTTGTATGTTTTCATATGTTGTGAATGAAATTTGTTCAATCATATGCAAATAACTCGCACATACAATATGCATATATAAATAAATCTCTATAAAATCCATATATATATATATATATGTGTGTGTGTCTATAAATATATATAATATATATATAAGGGCACCCGCAGCTTGGGTATGACTTTTGACACTGACGCTGGCGACGTATTGCAACGACAGATTCCCGATAATCCCCGTCCCCCCTGACGACGCATTGTGACGACACATTGCCTGACTACGCGTGAAAACCCACTTACGACGTAGATTAACCCCTGACGACGCATTGTGACGACACATTGCCTGACTACGCATTACCCCCTGACGACGCATTACCCAGTTGACGACGCCTTGTGACAACACTTGGCCCCCCCCCACTGACAACGCATTAGGCCCTTGACGACGCTTTACCCCCTTGACGACGCATGTGACAGACACAATGAAGGACGCGTTAACGCTTGACGACTCGTTACCCGCCATGACGACCACTCTTGAACGACGGGATGTGAAGATGGTGATGACACTTCCTTGACGGAGCGTGGGTAATTACCACTCTTGACGACGGATTGTGATGACACATTCCCTGACGACGCATTACCACTTGTCGACGGATTGTGATGACACATTCCCTGACGACACATTACCCCCTTGACGACGCCAAGGAATTTCATCTTGCCGATGTTACAAAACCGTTTTGGGCTCCAGGAGGGGCTCGGGGCGGAAAAAAATGGCGTCTTACGATGGTTTCAACATAGATGGCCTAAACATGGCCCCAACACAGCTGCCAAGAGGGCTCAACATGGGCCAACATAGGGCCAACACAGGCCAACATCGACCCAACATAGGCCCAATATGGGCCCAAGATGGGCCCAACATACCGCAACATGGGCCCAACTTGGCCCAACATAGGCCCAAGCTGGGCCCAACCTCGCTCAACATGGGCCCGACTTGGCGCAACATGAGCCCAAGATGGGCCCAACATACCTCAACATGGGCCCGACTTGGCTCAACATGGGCACAACCTGCGCTCAACATAGGCCCAGACTGCTTCCATAGAGGCAAGCACTGCGCATTATGCCTGCCTCAGTTCAACATAGCCCTCCCTGAGTTTGCGCGGAGAATCTCGGCCCAATCTGCACACACCATGAGCCAAACGTCGGGTATAAGCCTTTAAATAGTAGTAGAAGTAGCAGTAGCAGTAGCACTAGTAGTAGTAATAATAGTAGTAGCAGTAGTAGTAGTACTAGTAGCTAGTAGTAGTAGCAGTAGTAGAAAGAGTAGTAGTAGTAGTAGTAGCAGTAGCAGTACTAGTACTAGTATTAATAATACTAGCAGTACTAGCAGTAGCAGTAGCAGTAGCAGTAGTAGTAGTAGTGCTAGTAGTAGTAGTAGTAGTAGTAGTAGTCGTCGTAGTCGTCGTAGTAGTAGTAGTAGTAGTACTAGTACTAGTACTAGTACTAGTACTAGTACTACTACTACTACTACTACTACTACTAGTACTAGTACTAGTAGTAGTAGTAGTAGTAGTAGTAGTAGTACTAGTAGTACTAGTAGTACTAGTAGTACTAGTAGTAGTAGTAGTACTAGTAGTAGTAGTAGTAATAGTAGTAGTAGCAGTAGTAGCAGTAGTAGTAGTAGTACTACTACTACTACCAGTAGTAGTAGTAGTAGTCGTAGTAGTCGTAGTAGTCGTAGTAGTCGTAGTAGTCGTAGTAGTCGTAGTAGTCGTAGTAGTAGTAGTAGTACTAGTAGTACTAGTACTAGTAGTAGTAGTAGTAGTAGTAGGTAGTAGGTAGTAGGTAGTAGGTAGTAGGTAGTAGGTAGTAGGTAGTAGGTAATAGGTAGTAGGTAGTAGGTAGTAGGTAGTAGGTAGTAGGTAGTAGGTAGTAGGTAGTAGGTAGTAGGTAGTAGGTAGTAGGTAGTAGGTAGTAGGTAGTAGGTATTAGGTAGTAGGTAGTAGGTAGTAGGTAGTAGGTAGTAGGTAGTAGGTAGTAGGTAGTAGGTAGTAGTTAGTAGGTAGTAGGTAGTAGGTAGTAGGTAGTAGGTAGTAGGTAGTAGGTAGTAGGTAGTAGGTAGTAGGTAGTAGGTAGTAGGTAGTAGTTAGTAGTTAGTAGTTAGTAGGTAGTAGGTAGTAGGTAGTAGGTAGTAGGTAGTAGGTAGTAGGTAGTAGGTAGTAGGTAGTAGGTAGTAGGGAGTAGGTAGTAGGTAGTAGGTAGTAGGTAGTAGGTAGTAGGTAGTAGGTAGTAGGTAGTAGGTAGTAGGTAGTAGGTAGTAGGTACTAGGTACTAGGTAGTAGGTAGTTAAGGTACTAGGTACTAGGTAGTAGGTAGTTAGTAGTAGGTAGTAGGTAGTTAGTAGTAGGTAGTTAGTAGTAGGTAGTTAGTAGTAGGTAGTTAGTAGTAGGTAGTTAGTAGTAGGTAGTTAGTAGTAGGTAGTTAGTAGTAGGTAGTTAGTAGTAGGTAGTTAGTAGTAGGTAGTTAGTAGTAGTAGTAGTAGTAGCAGTAGTAGTAGTAGTAGTAATAGTAGTAGTAGTAGTGGTGGTGGTGGTAGTAGTAGTAGTAGAGTAGTAGTAGTAGTAGCAGTAGTAGTAGTAGTGGTGCTAGTAGTACTAGTAGTAGTGGTGGTAGTAGTAGTAGTAGTACTACTACTACTAGTAGTAGTACTAGTAGTAGTAGTAGTAGTAGCAGGAGTAGTAGTAGTAGTAGTAGTAGTACTAGTAGTAGTAGTAGTAGTAGTAGTAGTGAGAAGAAAAAAAGAAGGAAGTTTTACATCTATCCAGATGTTACACACGCACACAAACACACACCTGTCTCGGATGGTACAGCTTGCAAGCCAGAATCTGAACAACAAGATTCATACAGCATTGAAATTGATGCCAATCGGCATCCAATCCCTGAACAATGCACCAACCCTGCAAAGCATGAAAGAAAAGGCAGAGCGGGGGCTCAAACACGTCAGGGGTCAATCAGTGCCACAAGTGTAGCTATGGTGAAACAAAGTGAAGTTATGGGATGGGACACCACGGAAACACACACAAAATTAGATTTCAGCCATTTTGGGTCGTTTGGGTTGAATTGCCCGACCTGACCCAAAATAGGATAAGTTAACTCGTTAAAAACATGGTCATTGACCAAAACAACCGTTTTTTTTTCTGCTCGTTTGCTGGTCCAGGTATAACTATAATACTATTGTGGAGGTACTGGTAAGGACATGTACGAACCGTTGTTGAAACATGCTCAAACTGAATACCTGGTATAGAGATACGCGTCAACTCCCCGAAGACCAAGTCGAAATAAAAATGCAGCCGAAGCATCTATTACCTAACGCAATGCAAATGCAATGCAACACAATGTAATGTTATGGAATGTTATGTAATGTTATTGTAATGTAAAGTCATGTACGGTAGTGTATTGTATTGTACTGTAACGTACTGTGCTGTAATCTAATGTCGTGTAACGCAACGTAATGCAATGTAATTTAATTTAGTTTAACTTAATGTTATGAAATATACGTACATGTGTGTGTGTGTGACAAACCCTTTTATAATCTTATATATATTATATATATATTAGGGTCTTATCACATTCACCCTGCAATCTTTTGAACTCAGGGCGTTTACGCGGATTGCCTTCGGACCTGAAACTTCCACAAATATTTTCGCTTTTTTCTTTAGCGCCGGTAATTTTGATTGGGAAGCGGCCCCAATCTACAGCCATATTAACATTTCGAAATATGTATCTTACTTGCTTGTGGGTGGTTATGTGGTTTTGAAATGCGTCTGATGGTGACGGAAAATAGCTGTTCTTCCGAGGGTCCTGTACAGAACGCCCGCTCCAGGATGTTCTTTGGCCCCAGGTCACCATACCCGACGGATGTCAAAGTATAACTGCAAAAGTAGAAGGACGTGACATAGACTCGCCAAGCCGAGTCGCCTGGGGTCACCGAACAAACCGGAAACTGCATGAAGGCGTATAGCAAAAACACATCACAAGATTTCTGGCTACAAGGCCGAAATAGCGGTATAGTACCGTATAGTACCGTATAGTATGAAAACATGATAATTTATGGTACTATCATAAAGACAAGTTAGAAATAGTTTGTACTATTCTGGTAGAGGATAAAGATATGATATGATAAATACTAGCCAGGAAGCAAAAACTTATTTCACCTGCGGACATTTATGCTTAGTATTGTACAATGTGTTTTGTAAATGTTATAGATGTACAGTAGAGAAATTTAAAGTACATATAATACATGAGCATTGGTGTACGATCCAATCTTAAATGGGGCTCAATACATTCCCACCCCTATTCACGGGTAGCTATCTACTTCAATTATTTTTGGTATGTGGTGTTGTTTTGCTGTTTTGTTTGAAACAACCCTTCACGCAGCTGCCCCTGGCATGGTTTAAGGGTGCCACCTCTCAGGATCACCCTGTGGCATTTGCCCTTGTGATGGTGGGCCAAGAGTAGCTGCCCAAATAAGAAACATCATTTTGAAATCTGCTTAGCCTTTAGGGGGTGCCTGTAAAACTGATTGAAATTCAGGCTGTTAGCTTGACAGGGTTTAGGCAGTGAACATGTCAACTAAACTTGGGTCCGTTTGCCAAGAAGAACCTGGCTGATCCTATTTGCTATAGCTTTCATTTGTTTTGGCTAGCTAGAAACGCTTCCAAAAAATATCATCATCTACGGGAGTTTGCGCCAATTCAGCACCGCGCATCTGGCTCAGCATTCTTCGTGGGTGTTTTTCCCTTCTGCCAGATGAAGGAAAAGTTCTCTCCCATGCTCCGTCCTCTGCCCTTCTTCCTCCACTGTCCTCCTCCTTGTGCCCGCTCATGGTCACTGTGGGCTCCAAATGAAAGCACCAGCTCAAGTGGAGTCATCTCACTCCAGAAGGTCATGGCGAGTTCACGTCAATCTGGGCACACACGGACCCGAGATCTACGTCAAGCTCCACAGCGGTCTGGGCAAGCACGGACCGAGAGCCTGTAGGGGAGCTCCAGATCAGTCTGGGCACACACGTATGCCACAAAAAAATGAAAGATAGAATGCCAGAATATTTGCTAGACAAATTCAGATAGAACGTCAAAATCTATGCCAGAAAGAATGTCAGAACCCCCCGATCTGAAGCCAAATGATATGTCAGAAACTATGTCAGAAAAAATGCCAGATAGAATGTCGGGTAGAATGCAAGACAGATTGTCAGAATATATGCATATATGCATATACAGGAAATATATAAATATACACATTATCTTTACATGGCAGATAGTAAGCCAGATGATCTGTCAGAAACTATTTCAAAATAGATGCCAAATAGAATGGCAGAAAATATGCGAGAAAATATAGAATACAATGCCAGATGGAACGCCATAAAATGCCAAATAGAATGTCAGAAATTTTACCAGCAAGGATGGCAGAATATTTACGCCATGTATAAAGCCAAGTGTTATGTCAGAAACTATGTCAACACAGATGCCAGGTAGAATGGCCACAATTATGCCAAATAGAATGTCAGAAAGTAGGCTAAATTTTAGTGCCAGAAAGAGTGATCGAATGTCAGGATATATGCCAGAAAGAATGGCAGATAGAATGTCATATGTCAGCAAAAAAAATATATAAGCCAAATATTAAGCCAAACGATACGCAAGAAACAATGTCAGAATAGATGCCAGGCAGAATTCCGGAAAAGATGCGAGGTAGAATGTCAGAATCTATGGCCAATCGAATGCAAAAAAATGTCAGAGTATATGATAAATAGAATGCCAGAAAGCACGCCACATAGAATGTCAAAAATATGCCAGAGAGAACGCCAGAAAGAATGTCCGAATAGATGCCAGATAGAATGTCGGAGAGAATTCAGGACAAAATGTCAGATATAATGCCGGATAGAATGTCAGAATATATATGTATATATAGTTATAAATAGATATTTCCCAGATATTGAGCCACATGAGATGTCTGAAACTATCTCGGAATAGATGCCAGAAAGATGTCAGAATATATGCCAGGAAAAGCCTTAGAATATGTGCCAAGCGGAATGCCAAATGGAATGCAAGATAGAATGTCAGAATCTATGCCAGAATGAGTGCCAAATAGAATGCCAGAAAATATGCCAAGGGAATGCCAGAAGGGATATCAAATAGAATGTTAGGAATGCCTAGGAATGCCAGAAAAAATGGCAAATAGAATGTCTTAATGCCAAACGGAATGCCGCATAGAATGTCGGAATACATATTTCATGTATAGATATGCCACATGATGCCACATGATATTTCTGAAGCTCTGTCAGAATAATTTGCCAGGGGATCACAGGAAGTATGTTTTGTGGGTAGCGTCCCCCCCTTCTACCTCTGAGAGAACATCTGGGGTTGGTCAGCTGGGTATGGATGAGGGTGAATTTCGATTTCGTGGGCAGTTGAGATTCAAATTTTAGACTCTCTATGTGTCTCCATAGCTGGAATCTGAATCTTATGTCGGTCTATTCCCTCATGAAGTCCTACAGTGCATTGAGAAGGGATGAAATTCAAATTGCATCCCCTTTAAGGGTCTGCCTGGCTACTGTGGTCTTTTGCCTGGGATAACTGCGTCTTTTCGTCCAAGGTTTACCGAAAAAGTTTGAGAATTGGTATCCAACTCTTGGTTCAGTCCACCTTACTTTATATCAATCATTATCAGTTGTTATCAATTGTGCCCATGATTTTGCACAATGAACGTTTAAATGTTGTCAACGAAAGGCAAAACATTGATGTTTGACTGGTAGCCTTTTTGCTCAACACTATCTTGGAACCATCTTGTTCTACCTAAAAGAACCAGTGGAATGTTGGTTTATTTTGAAATAAAATGTTCACATTTTTGGCTGCTAAATGGCTGCGAATGAAGTGCATGCAGTGTGCATCGATGCTTATTGTGTGGCCATGTTCGCACGTGCAATCACACGCGTATTCATTCTATATATATATGTGTGTCATTATATGTCTGTCTCTGGTCGAAAAATATCTACACAAAAGGAAATTGAATAAGATCACTGTTTTTTTGTTGTTGCTGTAAGAGTGCTTCTATCAAACTTTGTCAGAGCTGAAAAATGCCAGCTGGTGAAGTAAGAAAAAACCCAAAACATGATCAAATATATTTGGGTAGTTGATTTTTTTTACTCATTTGCTTGAAAACAAACTTGGGAATGGATGCAGCGCATGGTTTTTGAAAGTCGAAGCAGTGAGCATGTTATATAATATTATAGTTTTTCTTCTTGGGGTTCAACCATGCTTTACCGTCAGCTCTTACAGCCTGCAAAAGATGGAACGTGTTCAATGGCCACCGTGGTCCATGCTTTGCAACATCGGTTGCTTGCTACCTCTCCTTCCACAACTTGACTTGACCCGACATTTGCCACTATGACACAAGAGATGACGGGCAAATGCCCAACTCTGCCACCAAACTGGTTCCAAGATCTCATCTAAACTGCATGCTCAACCCGAAGGTGAAAAACTAGACGACGGTTGGCCCGAGAGCGAATAGGTGTATAGGTACTCAGATGTGTTATGTAGTTGTATGATTTGCAGACGCCAAAGACTTACATGAATATGTTCATGAATATGTTATTTGAGATCATGAGAATATGTTCATTCAGGGTTTTAGTTGCAAGAGACAGACAGGGAATGCTGTTTACAAGATGCAAAAAAAAATCAAACATACAGATATGCCGAGAGGCTCTCAAACACAGACACGCACAGAGAAGAATGTTTACACTTTACACGTATTTACACGCAGACACACACACACACAAACAAACACACGCAAACCCACACACACAGAAGCTTTTACATACAGAAGCTTTTACACACAGACGCTTTTACACACAGAAGCTTTTACACACACACAAACGCTTTTACACACAGAAGCTTTTACACACACACACGCACGCTTTTACGCTTTTACACACAGAAGCTTTTACACACAAACGCTTTTACACACAGATGCTTTTACACACAGACGCTTTTACACACTTTTCTTTTACACACAGAAGATTTTCCGCACAGAAGCTTTTGCACACAGAAGCTTTTGCACACAGAAGCTTTTTACACACAGAAGCTTTTACATACAGACACTTTTACACACGGAAGCTTTTACACACAAATGCTTTTACACACAGATGCTTTTACGCATTTACACACAGAAGCTTACACACCGATCGATGCTTTTATATACACACAAACGGTTTTACACAGATGCTTTTACACGCAGACGGTTTTACACACAGATGCTTTGACACACAAACACTTTTACACACAGAAGCTTTTACACACAGAAGCTTTTACACACAAAAGCTTTTACACACAGACGCGTTTACATACAGAAGCTTTTACATACAGAAGCTTTTACACACAGACGCTTTTACACACAGAAGCTTTTACACACAGACACTTTTACACACACACAAACGCTTTTACACACAGAAGCTTTTACACACACACGCACGCTTTTACGCTTTTACACACAGAAGCTTTTACACACAGAAGCTTTTACACACAGAAGCTTTTACACACAGAAGCTTTTACACACAGACGCTTTTACACACAGAAGCTTTTACACACAGACGTTTACACACAGACGCTTTTACACACAGAAGCTTTTACACACAAACACTTTTACACAAAGATGCTTTTACACACAGACACTTTTACACACAGATGCTTTTACACACAGAAGCTTTTACACACAAATGCTTTTACACACAGACACTTTTACACACAGATGCTTTTACACACAAGCGCTTTTACACACAGAAGCTTTTACACACAGATGCTTTTACACACAGACACTTTTACACACAAAAGCTTTTACACACAAAACTTTTACAGACAAACGCTTTTACACACAGACACTTTTACACACAGATGCTTTTACACACTGACACTTTTACACACAGAAGCTTTTACACACAGACACTTTTACACACACAGATGCTTTTACACACAAACGCGTTTGCACACAGAAGCCTTTACACACAAAAGCTTTTGCACACAGATGCTCTTACACACAGAAGCTTTTACACACAGAAGCTTTTACACACAGACGCTTTAAACTTTAACAGGACCAACCAAATTCGCAAAAAACCCTCAGTTTTGACGATCGACCCTCATTTCGTCTGAAAGGGTGGCCAGTTCGTGGCGCCTCGTCGGCACCGCCCGTGGCCTTAAGAGAGAAAAGAAAAAGAAGGAGAGAGACCGTGACAGAGGGCAAGAGAGAGAGAGAGAGGGAGAGAAGATGTGAAGATGTCAGGATAAGATGTGAAGATGTGAACATGTGAAGATGATATGTGTAGATGTGAAGATGCGAAGATGATATGTGAGAATAAGATGTGAAGATGTGAGGATAAGATGTGAAGATGTGAAGATGTGAAGATGTGAAGATGATATGTGTAGATGTGAAGATGTGAAGATGATATGTGTAGATGTGAAGATGTGAAGATGGTATGTGTAGATGCGAAGATAAGAAGATGATGTGTGCAGATGTGAAGATGAGAAGATGTGAAGATACGAAGATGAGATATGTAGATGTGAAGATGTGAAGATGTGAAGATGTAAAACAGACCCCCACTATATATTAGAAGAACCCTTCGCTCAGACGCTCTCGGGAATCAAAGTTCAAATCAAATGAAGAACTGGCCCAAACATTGAATTTCAACTGAATGCAGACATGCGGCGGTGGGAAAAAAAAGCGAAACAGGCATCAACAGACAGAATTCAAATGCTAGCTGTTGCAATGTGGCCAGAAGCTAGAATTCAAATTATAATCCTACACAAAGAGGCTCTGGGATAGCAACTGAAATCTGAATTTCAAACCTTTCAGATTTCAGCAAACCTAATCTGGATGCATGGAGACCGTCTTCCCAAGAGTTTGAAATTCGAATTTCCAACTATAGGGAATTTGAAAACAAGACATGTTTAGCCGGGTAGACTCTACGGGATGACGCAGCTAGGCCGACACAAATCTAACTAACTGTCACCTAACTGTCACCCAGACCCACAAAGTCGCGGATGTGGAAGCCCTGTAAGCAGGAATGGCAATCATCTATGGACATGGCGTTCAAAATATGATCGGTACCAATTTCTGGATCTAATCCAACATAATTCACCTGATTTGTTTCCAAGCTTCTTCGTGGTTCTTGAGGCTGGAAAATCCACTTAAAAATGTCATAGATAATCATAGGCCCTCTCTTTCTAATTTCACCATATTTCACCAGATTTCACCTGTTTTAAAAGGTTTGGCAGATTGTGCCCCTGGCATTCCCCACGCTCCGACGTCCAAGGTGCGTGTCACGATGCCAAACTGCGCATCAGACCTGGTGGCTCCATGGGATGATGGGGAAAATTTTGCCGAATGGCCATGGATTCCATGGATTCCATGGATATGGCCCAAGAGATATAATTTCAGTGGCCTTTAATATGTTAACGATGCTAATCTTAAATTGATTTAAATGGAATATCATGGAAATACAGGTCGCTGCTAACACCTGTCAGTACATGTTGGCCGAACATGATGGAGTTTGATTCAACAGCAGTCCCGCGCCTTTCAATCTCATCGATCCACTGGGGGAACTTGGGATCCACCAATTGCAGGCACATAGCCCAAATGCATGCCAGCCAATGGCAGTAAAACAGCAGGAACGCCCTCAGCCATCGTGGCCATCGTGTCCATCGTGGCCGTGGCGATCGTGGCTTGATTTGGGATCGCTTTGATTTGGGATGATTTGGGAAAGTCAGAACATTTGAAAAACGTCTAAAATCTTATACTTATGAGATCTTATGAGTATGATAAAACATCAGAGTTGTCCCCAAATGAGCCGGGAAAAAACATGAAACCACTGCTGTCCTTACAGTAGACCTGTCTTTTTAGAGCTCCGGTCGCCAATGCTGGAATCATGGCCTGAAAAAAGCTGGACAATTTCCGTGCCAAGTTGCAGGAATCGAAACAGGGCCAGGTGATGATACGGCATCGCCAGGGAGATTTCGATCTTGTGCATGATACCTGGGAGCATGCTGGCCAATGATGGCCCAGTAATTAATTCAACGATGTTTCAACCATGATTTAATCATGCCATCATGCCGCCCCAAACCATCAAAGGCAACCAAACATCTTGAATTAGACATCACAGCAACATCAACAACTCTTCTGAACCACCTGTTGAAGCACCAACTTTCAGGCAAGTCACTCGAACTCTTCAAGACACGCATCAGTTTTAAGAGCCTTATCTGCATCTTTTCAGTACGGACTGGTCCCCTATGGTTTCTGCAAGGCAGCAAAACCCTGCACGGCAGCTCTCTGTTTTGCTTGGGCCATGAAAAGCCTCAGGAAGTAAATTGCATTTGAAACGCTATGACATGGGTGCATGTCTGTTGGTGACATGTGTAACACCCTGCCTTTTATGCCGGCTGTGGTGAAGGTTGTTGTTATCACCATCAGCCAAATAAACTCTACACATGCCCATCTGCTTCGTCTTCCATTGGAGGGTCACGGTAGTAAATCACCGTGCGTCCTTTTCCACCGCATTTTCCCTTGGGTGTTGTCGATGGTGCTGTTGCCACTGGTGTCGGTGTGGTCGATGTAGTTCCAGTTGCTCCATCACTTGGTGATACTGCAGCTTCATCATTCACGACCGGTGGGGGCCTTTCATCTCGAACTGGCTCCTCACTTTCTTCTCCTTCTTCTGCATCGCTTGGTGACCACGATGTAATTTCACCTGCATCTTCACCAGGCTGGAATGTTGTTGGTTCTCCCCAGCCGTAGTGAGCTGCAATCCATTCATCGGGCATATCTGATTCTTCCAAACTTTCACCAGGCGGTACTCGGCCACGATCATACCAGAAATGATATCGTCGCCGGCCAAGCAAGAAATCAATTGCGCGCTTGCGCGTTTCGATTCCCCCCAGCTGAATGGACTTGTGCATCGAGAAGAGCTCCTGCATGGATGCCAATCCAAACATCTCGCGTCACTGGGAGTGATCTCAACCATGCCAACTTCCTCACGATGTAGTGCTCCACTCCTCGGGATTCTGAAAGAAGTATGAACCTGTAGTCGTCATACTCTTGAGGGTTGAGCTCCTCGAAGACCGTGAAATCCTCGTTGACCAAATCCAAAGAGCCGTACTCCGTCTCCATGTCATCATCTTCTTCTGGCTCTTCCTGCTCGACGTCCATGTTGCTTGTATAGCCATCATCACCAGGTGCACCAAGAGCTTCTGCAGACAACGCAATGCTGTCCCAGTCGTAGTCGTACTCCTCAGCTGTTGCATCTGGGCCAGCTGCTGCACTGCTTGCTCCAGCTGCTGCTGGTGTCACCAAAACCTCCACGTCGATCTCTTCCATCTCGGATTCCAGGTTCTCCTCAGCTCCGTGGTAGAACTCCTCTTTTGTCATTCTTCGGATGTGCACGTCGTGACCATTGACTGTGGCACTACCTCCTGTTTCACGTTGTTGTTCTTCTTCTGCTTCTTCATGAAAGCTTTCCTCCTCATCATCTGTTTCCAACCAAACTCCAAGCCTTCTCTGCTCCTCATTGCGGATTCTCTGTCTCCATTCTCCCTGACGCAACTGCTGTCTCACCCAATCCATAGTGTCCCTCGTAGCCTCAATCTTCAAGTGCATCACGTGCATGATCTTCAGCAGGACCACGATGGCAATCACAAGGATGAAGACAACAGCCACCAACATAGTTGTTGTCCAGGTCGAAGACAAAGTTGTAGTTTCAACCTCCACAAAGCACTGCAAATTGCTCTGGCGAGGTAGGCTCAAGGCTTCTCCACCACTCAACAAGAGAGCTCCCAATGTCAGCCGCATCAGACGTTTTGCCACCTGATTGACCAACGTGCTTGTGTGCTTCTCGTTGGTTTCCAAAGCTTCAGCACAAACCAATTTTCTCACTGCTTTGATTCTCTCTCGGTTTTGCTTCTTCAGCTTCTCTTCCTCAAACTCTGCAACTCCTAAGTCTCCCCAGTCGTTTGCAAAGCCACAGAGGTACATCAGCAACTTCACACGCTTGCCAGTCAGCACTTTCGTCCCAAGGTCTGCGGTGTTGGTGATCGTATCGATCCTTCGAAGTTGTAGATCTCCACATTGCTGTCGCTGTTGAATCCATAGAAGTCGGCCAGACACATGTTTCAACCTTCCAACTCCATCTCTCGAAGCCACTGCAATCGATGAAGTGTTGTCTCCATAGACCTTCAGCTCCACGTCGCCATCCACCAAATGAGCAACCACTGCACGTAGAAACAAACCTTCTGAAGTTCCTCCAACCAAAGCCACAAACTCAGCTTCTGTTGAACTCAAAGTGATGTGCTTCTGCGTCCTTGAGTAGGAATGCAACCAATTCTCACCAAGGTAGATGCTCCCACAACTGGTTGAAGAACGGGTCTCCTTGTTGCCACTCCAGTCGCTGTCGGTTGCAACTTCCAGCAACCAGACTCCATCTTTCTCCTCATACTGTGGTGCATCTGTGAGACCTTCTGCACGATGTCGAAAGCTCCTTGAAGGATTTGTTCCAGTCAGCTCCAAGTGCATGTCCTTTGTTGCGACCATGTAGCCGATGAGGTTTGTCAAACTGCGCATGGCACCTCTTGTAGGGACTTGCAAGTGAGATGCCAACTCCTTGATGAAAAACTGCACGTCCGGTCGATCTCCTGACACATAGAGAAGTGTGCCAATTGCACTGCGGTACTTCTGGATCTCTTGCTCATCCACCAAAGGCTCGTTGTCGATGATGATGTCTCCAGGAGTTCTGCGTTTCTTAACTCCATGGAAAAGGTTCACCAAACCTTCAATGTACTTCTCGTTCATCCTGATCTTTGTGATACCATTGGCAATCTCGATGCTCCTCTTGAGAAAAACTCAGTTGGTTCCCAGTTTCCACTGCCAGCTTGAACTTCTGCTTCAGGAAGGACTCCGTCTTCTCAAGCTCCATGTCCTCCCCAGTCATCACCATATCGTCCACGTGCGTCATCAAAGCCAAAGTCCTTGATGCATTTGTCCAGACTGTTGGAGCTTCTGGACATTGTAGAAGACCACCATCTTTGAGCGTAGCCTTCAACGTGTTGAACCAAACTGCTGCTCCCTCACGCTGTCCAGGAAGCACTTTTCCAAGCATCCATTCACGGGCCACTCCAAGACGTCCAGCTAGATCTGCGCTCAATCAAGACCACCTTGACATTCTTGGGCTGTTCACAGTTCAGGTAGGCGTCCTTCACGTCGGCCACAACCATTTTCCAACCTTTCAATTGGCTCAGCAACGGGATCAGCCTCATAGTTGACTGAGTGCCAGTTGGTGCAAAGGTGTCACTCCGATTTGGGTCAAGCCAGTTGAAATCCCTTGCAACCAAACGGGCTCTGCGTTGCCAACCTCCATCTCGAATCCTCCAATCGCAAACCAAGCGTGTTGTCAAAGTTGGAGTAGCTGCCAGGTCCTCATCAGGTCGCGCAGCTCGAAGAACACCCATTTCGATCAGCCTTTGGATCTCTGTCTCAGCAGCCTTGTTCTCGATCTCTGCAAGTTCATCTGGAGATAGCTCTGGAGGCTTGTCTGGGAATTCCATGTCCATGTCTCCATCCTCAAGAAGTTCTCCTTCAACCACCATTCTAACATGCGGTTCACCTGCTGGTTGAGCTTCTGCTGTCGATGAACTGGCTCCTGCATCAGGTCGGTCTCCAGGGCCTGTTGTTCTCATTGCCTTTCTTGGTGATACCTTCGAAGATTTGGCTGGGCTCTGTTCTCCTTCTGGTACATCTTCACCTCCACGTTTTGGTGACGCCTCAACTCCACCTGCATATTCTTTGTTTTCCTTGACCTCACCCATCAGCTCCTCAAGCAACGTGTCATCGTTCACCTCCTTCTGCATGCTCATGCTCAAAGAACTGGATTGGGATGATGAAGGTTTTGAAGACTGTCTTGAAAGGGGATCTGAAGCAGCTTCATCAGACCCTGCCTCACCTGGAACTCCATCTTCCAGCGCAGGTTGAGCTCGGACTTGTTGTCGTGCTCGTGCTCGATCTGCTAAAGCTTGCTTTCTCTCCTCCTTCTCTTGCAACCTCAAAGGTCTTGACAACTCAGGTGGAAGGGCCACATTCTCTGTCTTGGTGAGTAGTGGTGTGGACTTGGTTCCAATCTGCCCATATGAAACACTCCAAGGCCAGGTACGCACGTTGTTGAGAACTGCTGCGTCAAATGGTATTGGAAGCCTTCTCACCGTGCGCGTCCATCTCAAACCATCGCTTGTAGCCACCACATGGAAGTCTGCCTTGTCAGTCTTCCCAAGCCAAACTGCAGGACGAAACTTATCATCTCCACTGTTTCCTGGGAGCCTTGCAAGCACCCTTTCACCAAAGACTGCCAGCTTGCCTTGGTATTTCCTCCCAGTCACCTGCTCATAGGCTGTGGGGCTTCCATTCTTGCGCCTGAAGTGTGTGATGAGCCATCCAGCATGTCGTAGGGCCCATTGGAACAATGGTCCAAACACATTGATCTGCACACCAGCTCCTTCTCGAAGACGGTTCACCAAAGTCTTTGCCAGGCCTCGAACTGTTTGAATTTCACGTTCAACTCTGCCATTGCCTTGACTGTCGTCTGGGCCGCTGTGCTCCACCAAGGTCTTGAATCCCAAACGTTGCCTGCATTTCTGAACCACATCCAAAAGCAACCTTGTTGAGGGTTCTCCATCAGCTTTCACAGTGCAAGTTGAGAAACCACAAGACCCAATGTAGCGCACCACCTGCTCGGCCAGAAACTTGACATGTGGACGCCCTTTGCCAGGCGTCGGCACCACCAGAATTCCACGTGTCCAGTCATCTGTGATGACCAAAGAAACACCACCACGTGCATCTCCACCATAGCGTCGAAGATCTTCCAAATCTTCCTCCTCAGGCTCCACCAGGCTCTTGGTGAATGCAAAGTCCATGGACACGATGGGGTACTCAGACTTGGTCTCATCTCGAAATGATCCCTGGAGCTTGTGGGGATCTGCCTTTGCTCGTGCAGCAACACAGCTCTGGCACCAATCTTCATACGGCCAGTGCATAAGCTCATGTACTTGTCGTTCTGCTTTTGTTGGTACCCTTGGAATGTGTTGTCCTCGGGCATCTCCACCGCCTTCATCAAGACGTCGGCGCGTGAATTCTCTTTGAGCCAACTCCACTGCCAGGTTTTCAGCAAAATGCCGATGATGCTCCACCAAACGTTTCCAGGCATCAGCTTTGCTCCTGCCTTTGGGCAATCCACATAGCTTCAAACCCACACGCATCTTTGACAAAGGGGTCTGTGCCGTGTACTTCACTCCCTCGATTTCAATCTCCTCTGGTTCATCACCTTCAGCATGTTGTGGATATTCTCTTTGAACAGGATCTCCTTCACCAGGTTCTTGCTGTGGACCCATCTCTGCGTCAGACTCGTCCACCTCATAAACACCATCTTCAAGTGTTCTACCATGCCATCCAAAACCTTGCTTTTCTCGGGCTTCTTCACTTTTGGGCTCATGCTCCAACACCTTGGGCTTGAGGAAAGGATCATCAGCTCCTGTGCTCAGCTTGCCCACGGCCATGACATCTTCCTCATTCTTGTGGAAGAAGACAACAACTGTCGTCACCTCTCCATTGCACTCCTCAATCTCGTCCTCATGGTTTGAACGATCTGCCATCTCCACAACCTCCCACATCTTGTCCTTGAGAATCAGAGTTGTTCTGAAGGGATAGTCAACCCTCTGGAACTGTGGGAAGGAGTTGTGGTGATGGTTCGAATTCATCACAACCAGAAATGGTACCTGTCGATCCAGGCTTAAGTGCCACCCGGGAACTGAAAGCAGGTTCATCATCAGGCCCTCAAAGCTCATTGTAACTGCCCTCACAAAGGTTTCCCCAGGTGCTTCAACCATTCTGATCTTTGCCACCGTCGACAAACTGTTGCTCCTAAACCCAATGGTCTTGGAAAACTCTCCACAGGCCAAGTTTGACTTCTTCTCCATCACCTTCAACACGCCATCCACGTTTCAGCAACTTTCCCAAAGCTACCAACGGTTCAGAGACGCTTGACAATGCAAATGTCTCCCTCAGCCTTGCCACGTTGCCATTGTCATCCTCAATCTCCATGATGGCTTGCCGTAGAGCTCCTCCAGGCATACGGTTTCCCTGAGCGTCGCGCAAGATGCTCTGCTGGTTCAATGCCCTGCCTGCCCCACGATAGTTCATGGGCAGGACAGACATATCAGCACCACTGTCCAAGATGATTGGAACTTCTTCTCCAACTCGAACTCCTCTGACAAAGGCTGTTGGCCTCGAACCAACTTCCACCATGTTGCAGCCAGCACCAAGTAGCCTCGAACTACCATCTGTGCCGCTCTTGCAAAAGACCTCCTCAGACGCGTTGACAAAGTCCTCAAAGTAGACCTTGCCACCATCTCCATGTTGAACTTCTCCACATAGATGCCAGTCCTCATCAGAGTCACTGTAGGTCATGTCGAAGACGTTCTGCTCGACATTGACAACCCTCACATAGGGCTCCTCGACAATGGGCTCCTCGTCCAAGTTGTAGTAGGTGATCCTTCTAACTGCGGAGCCTTGAACTCCTTGTCCAACTTGGCCAGAACTGCCACTCGCAACCGACTGCGTTGCCACTGTCGACTGCGTATCTTGGCTGATCTGCCTGACAGGACGGCTGGGGCACTCTCGAGACCAATGCCCGCGTCCTCCACATTGTCTGCAAACATCTGTTGGAACACCTTTTCCTTTGCCGCGTCCTCCATCTGAAGACTTGCCATAGTCCTTGGACTTGCCCTTGAAGTCTTTTCCCTTCCACTTACCAGCATCTTTTGTTTTGCCTTTGCCCTTGGAATCCTTTCCACCTTTCGACTTGCCTTTGTTGTATTTCCCTTTCATCTTGCCCTTCACTCGGTCCACCTCCATTGGAACTGGATCTTCATGTTTCTCCTCCTTCTTGATGTCCAGCTCCTTGTAGACCGTGTTGGAACTCCACGACGTAGTTGTCCTTTCATAGGCCAGAACTTTCTCACGCATGGACGTGTAGTCCGACTTCTCATCCATCTGCAGCTGTAGGTGTTGGCGTAGTTGGGCAGGTATTACTCGAAGTAGCACTGACAGCTTCGTGTTGTCACTCAGCTCTTCTGTGCTAACTTGGCGGTATTCCTCTGCCAGCCTCTCCAAACCAAGGATCTGCTCCATGACATTCTCCTTCTTGAACTGCGGGTGCCCCAAGAAAGCTTGAAGCAATGCTATCGACCTTGCCCTTGTCCTCGGCTGCATCTGTTGCGCCAGTTGGCGCCATACTTCAAGACCGTTGCGGCCTTCCACACTTCTAAGTAGCTTGAGGGGTCGGTTTCTAAGAAGACCAACAAGTATTGAGTGCAGCTTTTCTGATCTCTCGTGTTGAGAGACCGTCATCTCCACAAAGTCCAGCGGTCCTTCAGCTGTCTCGGCCTCGTTCAAGTCAGCCTCGTAGTCGCTTTGCGCGTAGACCAGCCATGACCTGAAAGTCAACCTCCAATCAGCCCATTGACTGAGTTCCTCTTCGGGAGTTGCTGGTTGAAACAAGTCAGGCTGTCTCACCACCTTGGCTGCTTCTGCAAACCTGTCCTTCTTCTCATTCCCAAACTTCTCCTTCAGCGCTTGGGCTACTTCAGCCACGGCCTCAGCGCTGGCTTGGCTGCTCTCAAGCAGCTTCACCACAGCAGCCTGGTCCATGGCTGCTTTGCCCCGGTTGGGGCTCCGCTACCATGCAAGGCAGCAAAACCCTGCACGGCAGCTCTCTGTTTTGCTTGGGCCATGAAAAGCCTCAGGAAGTAAATTGCATTTGAAACGCTATGACATGGGTGCATGTCTGTTGGTGACATGTGTAACAGTTTCTCTCACACATGGGGGTTATACCTCAAACTAGGCATCATTAATCGCTGGGGAAACTGGGGCAACTATAGGCGTTAACAACTGGGGAAATATGGAAACCTCACGATGAACTCTGGAATTTTGTGACTCCAAATTTTGAAGCATGAGCCCTCGCGTGAAGTCAATTCTTTGTGCAAACGGCTCTCCCAGGCTGAAGCCAGTTCAGCTGAGTGGTTCGGGGATGGTGAGATTGTGAAGTTCACATTTGGATATGGACCTCACCAAGGGCCTTCCGCCTAAGTGTTTCCCAAAATCCATCTCCAATGGCTAATGCTACCTGATGTTGACCCATGCAAATGATGATATCCCGTGGAAATGGACCAGGGTCTGTTGATCTGCCCCAAGCTCTCAGGTCAAGAAACCGCAAGGCTCTCAAGGCCTTTAAACCTTTCAGATTGTTGATCCTGCACGGAGATGACATGTGACACCAAGATCACCCATGCGTCAGGCACGTTCCACTCAAAATTACTGTGCTGACTACGGCGTTCTGGAACCTCTTCTTCATGGCACCCAGAAACTCTCACGGTCTACCGATTTTGGCAGCACTACTTCGGCTTGCTCATCCCGCCCCGCCTATTTTCCGTCTCTGACGCTAAGCTCAAGAGATCAAAAGGTATCAAGGCCAATGCATCAATGACAAACCTGGGCATGTCGTGGGAGACATCTAGGTCTTGGGTGTTCAAAATCAGATTCAGAAGTTGATTTCAATCAGCCTTCCTTAAGTGAACTAGTTTGCTGCTGCATGGCTGGTTGGAACGTGTTGGAACCAGCCCTTGATCCCACATTGGATCCTGTTTCGGCCAAGTCGCCAACCAGTCAGGTAGTGCCAAGCGATCATCTTCAGCCGCGGCTCCCAAATAAAGCCGTGGCCAGTTTTCACCTGCACAATCAAGTGGCACACAGCTGGGGCACCAAGGACAGCACCTTGATTATGTATGTATGCATAAGTATATATATATGGTTATCATTATCTATCTATATATCTGTGTGCACAGGCATACATAAAAATTAAATTAAAGGACCGGATAACCCCACAAGTCAACTTCTTCCAATAATGAGCTTCAATGGTTTTAGCGGGGACAGGGAAGGAAGGAAAGACAAAGGAGGTGGTGAAAGATCGAGAAGGTAAAAGGGTAGGTAGGTATGTATGTATGTACGTACGTACGTACGTACGTATGTAGTATTATGTAGTTGTATGTGTGTGACAGACCCAAGCACGCAGTGCCATGAGTGCCACGCCTGCCACACAAAACGATGGTGGATGTGAGATTGTGCCACGCCTGCCACGCAAAACGAAGGTGGATGTGAGGTTGTGCCACGCCTGCCACGCAAAGTGCCGCGGCGTCACGGGCGTCACGGGCGACCAAGCCAGTCCAAGCGCGCCACCCAATGCCATGAGTGCCACGCCTGCCACGCGAAACGATGGTGGATGTGAGATTGTGCCACGCCTGCCACGCAAAACGAAGGTGGATGTGAGGTTGTGCCACGCCTGCCACGCAAAGTGCGCGGCGTCACGGGCGTCACGGGCGACCAAGCCAGTCCAAGCGCGTCACCCAATGCCATGAGTGCCACGCCTGCCACGCGAAACGATGGTGGATGTGAGATTGTGCCACGCCTGCCACGCAAAACGAAGGTGGATGTGAGGTTGTGCCACGCCTGCCACACAAAGTGCCGCGGCGTCACGGGCATCACGGGCGACCAAGCCAGTCCAAGCGCGCCACCCAGTGCCATGAGTGGCACGCCTGCCACGCGAAACGATGGTGGATGTGAGATTGTGCCACGCCTGCCACGCAAAACGAAGGTGGATGTGAGGTTGTGCCACGCCTGCCTCGCAAAGTGCCGCGGCGTCACGGGTGTCACGGGCGACCAAGCCAGTCCAAGCGCGCCACCCAATGCCATGAGTGCCACGCCTGCCACGCGAAACGATGGTGGATGTGAGATTGTGCCACGCCTGCCACGCAAAACGATGGTAGATGTAAGGTTGTGCCACGGCTGCCACGCAAAACGACTATAGATGTGAGTTTGTGCCACGCCTGCCATGTGTGTGTGAAAGTATTGTATGTGAAACTATTGTATGTTAAGTTAGTGTGTGTGAGTGTGTGTGTGTGAAGTTATTGTATGTTAAGTTTGTGTCTGTGAAAGTAAAAGGACTATAGATGTGAGTTTGTGCCACGCCTGCCATGTGTGTGTGTGAAAGTATTGTATGTGAAATTCTTGTATGTTAAGTTATGTGTGTATGAGTGTGTGTTTGTGTGTGTGTGTGAAGTTATGGTATGTGAGAGATGGTATGTGACACAGTTATGTGTGTATGAGTGTGTGTTTGTGTGTGTGAAGTTATGGTATGTGAGAGATGGTATGTGACAAAGTTATGTGTGTATGAGTGTGTGTTTGTGTGTGTGTGTGTGAAGTTATTGTATGTTAAGTTTGTGTGTGTGTGAAAGTATTGCATGTGAAATTATTATATGTTAAGTTTGTGTGTGTGAGTGTGTGTGAAGTTATTGTATGTTAAGTTTGTGTGTGTGAATTTATTGTATGTTAAGTTTGTGTCTGTGAAAGTATTGTATGTGAAATGATTGTATGTTAAGTTTGTGTGTGTGAGTGTGTGTGAAGTTATTGTATGTTAAGTTTGTGTGTGTGAATTTATTGTATGTTAAGTTTGTGTCTGTGAAAGTATTGTATGTGAAATTATTGTATGTTAAGTTTGTGTGCGTGAAATTATTGTATGTTAAGTTTGTGTGTGTGAGGGAGGCGGCGGGAGGAGGAGAAGGAGCCCGGGATACAGAATCAAAAACAAGAACCCCACACAAAGTTGTGGGGAAAAATGTAAATAGATCAATCATTACTTATCTACATCATTGATTCAAACCAAGGCAGCATGCTGGGAAAGTCATGAGAGCTGTGGAGGCTACCAGTGTTCGTCTGCGGATCCCACGCTGGAACCTTGTACATAGTCAGGAACTGCATGATGGTGTCAGCGAGGAACAACGTATCGATACCTCTGCCACACTACCACACGGCACCCAAAACATGCCCCAAGAGGTGACTCTGATTCCTCTTGTGTGTCATCGCATGTCATCGCACTCTTGCCATGCTTCTTCAGGCTCTTCAGGCTCTGCCGCTGCCCAAAAAAAGGTCTTGAAAGAAGCCATCATTTGCAGAGATCCATGGCAAACGCTGCTCCATGACAAACAAACCATAACAAACCATTAAATGGAGCTGTTGTCGTTGAACCAAAGATCTGCAATTCTGGGACACAATTTTTCAATCCCTGAGAGCCGAGAGACCCAAGAGAGTCATTGGATAAACATGGACACTTCTGTTCATTGGCTGCCACATCGGAGAGATATGTCCGATTCCGATATTATACTGTAACATGCTGTAACCGTCTCCCCTTGCAATCCCACAGAATGCAATGGCGTCTGCTGGACGGAAGGGTGTCGCTTAAAACAAGCGACACAGGCTGAACACGAGCAGAAAATCAACCTGCAAAGGCAGCAAGCTCACCTGAATCGTAGCCGAGCTCATGGCACTGAAAACATGTCAATCCGGATTGTATATTACTTCGAAAATGCTTGAGAAAGCCCTTCGACAGAACAAAGCCCATTTGCCTTTCTTTGCCGTAGTTGATTCTTTAATTGTCCCAGTGTGACGCCATGTGATGCCCTAGGCCACGCCTGCACGGGAGTGATCACAGCCACAAATGCCAGGCAAATCGCGGTGATGATCTGCCATACCGCGCCCAGGCGTCCTGAGATCTGGATTGGAAGGGTTGAATATCCAAAGAATTACTTCTAGATACTTCTAGGTTGAAGCCACCAACCAATTGAGTTCCAAGGATACATAAGTGTTCCGTACCCAAGGAGCAATAGGGGCGAGTCTTGAAATATTTCGGAGGGGGTGGCACGCTGCAAAGTCTGTGGAGACTTGTCGTTTGGAGTGTGTCCACGAGCCAGAGATCCGCGATAAGTCAATCAGATTTGCAGGACTTGTCAAGCTAGTGGCATTGATATGGTGCAGCCAGCTATCGTAGTTAATGCGAACTTGAGAGAGAAGCTGGTGAAATTGGTGAAAACACATCTTAAGCGAACCAGCTCCAAGGGTGAACAATGGCATGTTTTGCTGGAACAGTCTGATCTGGAGTGAAAAAACCGCCGAGCGCGCTTCCCTATGGGCAGCAACATCACTATCTACATCAGCATTTACAATGATTTCAATCTACACTTATCAACATGCACACATACCTACTCCTGTATATATATATACGTATAATGATATAGTGTGATTATTATGCCTGTATATACATGAAGAAAAAAACATATAATATACTGTATGTATAACATATGTGAAGTATGGATCCTACCGCTGCCATACTGATTAAGTGGGGTTTGGACATGGGATATCCCAGCGAGTCTTTTTGTTGGGTCCCACATGTCGGCACCTATGTCGGAGCGCAGCCCAGGATCCTTCAGGATTTATCACATACCATGGCTTTCCGAAGGAGAAGTGCTTCGTCCTCTGCGCTTTCATGAGTGTGAAATGCACACCTCAGGGCAGTCCGCGCATATCCAGGCATCCTTCTGCTTGAGTTCCGGCGAGGGCTCACCAAAACCCTCAAAAGATCCAAGGATCTAAAAGGGTCATGGACCATCATGGGTCATGCATGGCCATCTGTTTTCTTGGGGCTATTGGGTGCCCAATGGTGCCCATAATTAGGAATACTTTGTCATACTTGTCTCTTTGCCACTCAAAAAAATCTTCCCACCTGCCAACTGCCAAACCCCCAACTTGTCGCTTCCAAAGCA